ACTTCTGTAGTCGCATCTGGTATGCATGCATGCAGATAGACGCAAGCCGCACCACGCACATGACACACAGGCATCCGTGCATACAACTTCGACCGGTTTGTGTAAATGTTTATGTGTGCTCAGACTCATAATGACATAATGTCATACAAAGTATGTGTGTGTGTGTGTCTGTGTGTGTACGTGTCTGTGCTCGTTGGCTTTAGCACGGACATGCATCTGTGCATATGCACTTCTGTGAATGCCTTAAGTCTTGGAATGAATCTGTTGATGAAGCCTACAGCAGTCGATCGGTCTGTCTATTGTCTCCATGTGCTTACATGTACATGAGACTTTCTACCTACTTAGTCCGACTTTCCCTTCCCGCTTTCTTGTCTGTCTGTCCATCCATTTGCTTCGCGTCTTCATTCTCCGGCACAATTATGTTTCACCATGTGCATGGGTATGACTGCCAGAGCGTTCAAGCCTGGTGGGTGATTGGCAGGCACACGGGGCCCAGTCCTAAGCCTTCAACGGTTCGGGCCTGAGCTACGGCCTGGGGCAAACTGCGAACTCGCCACCAGCGTTGAAAGTTGCAGCAGCTCGCTTTTCCCGGTTGCTGCAGGCCGAGATCTCGACATTACGTTCTCGGACTTGAAGCATCGTGAATCCGTGTCTGAGTGGCTGTCGTAGGCCCCCTTTTTAAGCATGGATTGAACCTGCCGGAACTCTGCGTCATCGGCGCATCCGAAGTCGTGTTGAATTTAATACTCCTGTCATTGGGGTATGCAGTGAAGCACTTGAGCCAGGCAATGCCTGCAGCGAGCAAAGTGTTGGGTTGAGGTTATGCCAAAAGTGGACTATCAAATAAAGTTTGGTGAATTTTCATAGAGCCAAATTGGTTCTGCCCAGCTCTGCTCTGAGTTCTTACAAACCTGTCCGAGCCCAGTCCGTGTGGATTCGCTGATGCAGCAAGAAGAGGCTTTTGCATCTTTCTTTGCCACATGCCAGAGACGGATTAGAGCTGGAATATCAAAATATCAATCTAACCTTTCGGTTGGCCAAGTTGTGGGACTGCAGCCGTTTCTTCAGGAGGCAGAAGCGAAGGCAAAGGCAGAGGCCTCAGCTTTCACGGGCCAGCGCAGCAAGACACCGCTGTGAGCGCAGTGAGGCTGCAGCAAAAGCAAAAGCGGCCGCAAACAAAAGTGAGCTGCCAAGTTGCCTTTCGGTGCGGATCCTGCCCCGATTCTGGTGCTAACGAGGTCCTGAAGCCATAGAAAGAGATGAGCGTTTTGGCCTCAGAAGTTTCGGGCAGCCTCTACTTATGTTGGCAAGCTGCTGTGAATGTCAGGGCTAGAGGCAAATTTCAAGCTCTACGAGCATCACACGGAGGAGGAGCTGAAAGAGGCACCGGGTTTGGCTAGAGCTTTCCACGGCCAGCAAAGGGTTGGCCACAAATGCCCCTTCCCCGGTGAAGGGTTGAGTGATGTTCAGATGTCGAAGGGTCGCGGGTCGTGCCTCGTGAGATTCGCCAAGTTCTGGTCACTATTGACTGGGTTTCCATGTGAGCGGCGTTGATGAGCTCGCGTTGTCGAGTGCAGTTTGTGCTCGTGCGACAAATGTTGTCCCGAATTGTGGCCCCGCACGTGCAAACATGCACATCTCTACGCTCCGTGGGTCCTTGCAGATCCTGCCGAAGAAGGCAGATGGCGGCTTTACCTCCATAGGCAGCTGCATGACCACCTGTGTACACGTCGCATAAACAGATGCGTCGTCTCATTGGGCTCTGTCACGTATGAGGCGCAATGTTGCATGCAAGTGGGAAATGTTCGAAGCTCGGTCCGCCGTGCGTCGGTGCCTGCTTGGGGCTGGCCGTTCGCTGAGGCGCCACCTGCATTTTTCATCATTCGCCCAAGGGTTGCTACAACGCCATAAAATGCCGGCCACAGCCTTTGCCAAGCCAGAGGATGCTCGCAGCGCAGCGGGCTTTGGACAAAGTCTGAGGTTCTGCCACGGAGACCACACAAAGCCAAGCAGAGTTTGGGGCCAAGACACGGGAGAACATGGCAATCCGCGGCAATCCCCACATTTCATGAGCCTGCCACGCCTTGAGGCAAAAAGCAGGAAAAAGAAGAAGCCTGAAGGCGAAGGTAGTTGGCCTGGGCTGGGTGAATTTGCAACACGCTACGAAGTGTTTGCAAGGAGACGAGAACAAGGCATCCGGCTCGGAATTGACTTGAGATCATGCTGCTTTTCGCATATGGACCGGAGACTTCTTCCACACTATGTGGCACAAGGCCGCAGCCGGCAATGGGCCACAGAGGCAGAAGCGCGGAACTCAGCTGAACTGACACTGCAACACCCGTGTTGCTGTGTATCTGCATTCGGCTTAGTCTAAGGAAGACTCGCGAAGGTGCTCTGGCTTCGCACGATGGGATGTGACATGTTCGATCGGCGCTGTGGAGACGAGTCAATCGAACAACTTGGGACATGTTGGGGAAGAAATGCAGGCGACGATAACGATGAGCCTTCGAAGAAGAGGAGGCTGGCCGTGAAACCCCCGGGACCAGCACCTTCAGCCCGCCATTCGTCCGACCAGTCCACGATGTTAAAGAGGCATGCGACAACCCGTCCATCGCATACTGTATTCATTCAACATGACTACAGACAAGTCTTCAACAGCCTAGTCAAATTAGTGTGCGTGCCTCTCCTGCAGGCTCGGCAACTCGGTCCCAGTCTCAGACTGCGGGCAAGCGGGGACGCTGTGGCTGATATGTCAAGAATCTGACCTGTTCAGGGGGAGCTTGATGAGCTGGGAAACAGCAAGCCTAGCTGGATTTCTGATGGTGACGCCGATCACTGAGAGTTGCGTAAGCGGATGTGTTGCGCTGTTGCGCATGTCAGTTTCCTCGCTTCCGCGGTTCCGCCTTGCCATCGTGCCCGCCCCGACTTAAGTCAGCCGCATTCCCCAACGGCTGTAAGCCGAGACGGTGACGTGAAAACACGAGCCCTTCCCTGCCGCCGTGCCCGGTGAAGGTGCTTTCAACTGAGAACCGTAGCCTGTCGATGCAAAACGGACCTCAATGCAGTTTTCATCGGTCTCCCCTATGTGCGCACCACAGCGAGATCCCTGATGTTCCATTCTCCCGCTCGAGCTTTTCAAGCCTTAGGGGCGACATAGGCGATCCGAAGCAGATAGCGTGTGTCAGCCTGCTCAGGAAAGCTATCCATACCGGACTGCGCCAGCTCCTCGAGACCTGCTGTGTTTTTGTTGTGGACTCTCTGAGAACGATCGCCGAGGCGACCACCTCCTTCGCCTTGGGGTGCTCGCCACAGACATTCTCGGACAAGTTATGGTCGTCCCAACAATGCTAGCTTGGCCAGGTGCGGCATATCCTGCACCGCCATACTACTATCCTCCGGCGATCAGGCCTGGAGTTCTACCAGTCGATTCAGCATCATGTCAATCTGGGTGTCAGGGACGGGCGGCCGCCGGACTATTATCCGCCACCTGCGCAACCTGCTTAGACAGCTCGAGGCAGGTGACTGCGGCCGTGCTCAGGCAGAGTATTCTCCGGAAAATTCCGCCTGAAGGCGGCTGCGGTTGGATGGAGGTCTGCGGTGTGGCGGAGCGCGGCCATGCCGAGATGAAATAAAAGGTTTGAGCCGCGCATCTTTGCACCTCTGCGACAATCCCGGATGACCTGCATGGGTGGCATTGCAGTAGAAAGAACCTGTTCCACAGTCAAATCCGGGTTCCAGATTAAGACGTCTAGTCGATTGACTTCAGATGAGGAATCTGCATGGCCGACGTTCCGAGCCCATCTCAGCCCCTTCAGTTCTCCAGACTCAAAAAATTTCACAAGCCTTCGGCCATGTCACTCCTGAAGCAGCATGGATACATCCTTCGGCGCTGGCCGCTTTTGGGGTGACACCGGTGATGGCAGTGCCACGGCATGATTTTTGCAGCGCTTTGGGTGCAGGCTTCGTTCTATGCATAGGGTGGGTGCATCCTTCTTCAACGAGGTCGCGCACCTTCGCGATGGAACCCTGAAGCTCTTGCGCACCTCTGGAAGCCGGCCCAGCAGATCCCCCAGGAAGCGCGGCGCCCGTGCTTTGTTGTTTTAGAGCCGGGAAGAGTTGGGTCCCTGTAGGACTCCGAGCCCTTGACGGAGCCGAGAAGCAACGGGGCCCAGTCCGAGCTCCACATAGAGGGCGGACACTTCTCAGCAGAGTCCTCGTTTCGACCAGAACGTGCTTCTGGGACTGAACTCTGTGGCTGCTGCCTACTACACTACATCCTCCTACTACAAGCAGTACCTTTTCGCATGTCTACTTTCAGTCTAAATCTTCCAAAACAACGACAACGACGAGTACTTGCTACTTGTACGGCTAAGACTAATCTTACTACTGCTGCTGCTGCTGCTGGTACTGCTGCTGCTATTCATGCTGCTACTGAGACTGCCACCACTGCGATCACGGACGACGACGACGACGACGACGACTACTACTACTACTACTACTGTACTGCTACTGCTACTGCTACTGCTACTACTCCTACTACTACTGCTACTGCTACTGCTACTGCTACTGCTACTGCTACTGCTACTGCTACTGCTACTGCTACTGCTACTGCTCCTGCTACTACTACCACTACNNACTACTACTACTAATCCTACTACTACCACGCACTTCCATCACTAGCAGTTCTGATACACAGCAACGGAGCAAGCAACACTGTACTGCACCTTTAGGAAAGCTCGTTTGGAAAGCTCGTCTGGCGCCCTTATTTCTCAGGCTGCACCCCCGGACAGCAACTCAGATGACACCCTTGACGCACGATACGGAGATCTTGAAGATGTGCCAGCCGCGAGAGCCCTGCATGTGCCCGAAACCCAGCGCATGGCGTCCCCAGGCAGGATGCTGCTGCATGCAATGGGCAATCGTGCATGCTCCGCTGCGGTTTGCACGTGTAGGTCTTAGCAACATCTTCCATTTTTGCAAACAGCTCGGGCCAGACACAGGCGTTGGAGGCAAAGAAGCCAACGACCCATGGGCCAATTTCCTGCCTGGACGAGCCACGGTGCCACCGGAAAGGACTCGGCCGGAGGTGCTTTGGTTGCACACCGTTCGCTTGCGACTTCGTCCGATGCTGGAAAAAGGCAAGCCGGAACGGACACGATGGATATGGACATGACCGCCGGGAGAGGACAGTAGAGGGTCTAAGGCCTAGGACTTTGCATCTGCGCTGAAACTGCGCTGTCTGAAAGTGAGGACTCAGAATCAGAGCACGGCTAGCGCTCGGAGACCGTCGCACGCATCCGAGGCCATTGGTTCATGCGAATGGGCAGGCTCCTCAGCTCCTCCTTTGCGGTTTTTTCTGTTCCCTCAGGCAACGACGCGGATTCGCTTGGGCAAAGACCTCGCGCAAAGTTGGACGACGCGGGAAATTCTGCATGCTGCTGAACTGCACCTGGAGGCCGGGATCGTCATGCATGCTGCTTGATGATCTCATTCTTCAATCTGCGTTTTTCATACCAAAGGGTCGCAGGATGCAGCAAGAGATGTGCAACCATGAAAAGAGACGAACATTCCAAGAAGACACGGCTCGTGGTGTGTTTTGTTTCGCTCCCACGCACGTGCAGACATGCCGCTGCCGCTGCATGGCTGTGACTGTGGCCGATATCCTGGTAAAGCACGTGCTGATCATGCTTTGCATTTGTGTCCCTCCCCGACCGCCTTCGTGTCCTGCAGACTGTGCCGGGCCTGCAGGAGTTTGATGTCGTTCACTCGGTGGTGGCATTACATCGCATTGCTAAAAGCACAGATCGCGGAGAGCTCCGGCACGATCAACGCCTGACCGCTGTATTGGCAAAGCTGGCAGACACCGCGGCATCAGCAACTGCAGTGCCTGGTGCTGCAAAGCATGATGTGCGTTTGCTGTTAGAGAATGCTTAAGAAGGATCGCAATGAGATCCAAAAGCGAGGTGTCATCGTCCAGCAATGAGATGCCACATGTAAAGGAGGTGTCCAAAGCATTGCTGCTCAGTAGCAATAGTTCAATCTTAAAACCGTCTTGTTTTGCGTGTGTGGGCTTCTCCTTTGACAGTCGAGGTGGGCACTCGCGAAGGTTGGGCCTTGGGCGGATAACTTTGAAGGCTATGGCCCGCGAGGTATCGAAAGTGGATCATGGAGTGGCCGGGCGTGGACGGGAGTGCACCGAAGCCTCAAGGCCGGCTCCAGAGTCTGGGGGGACCTCACGGGGGAGCTTTGCGTTGAAGTTGAGAAGTTACGAGGCTTTGGGGACATCTGCAATCGGGCGCTTGCACGAGTTGGACAGTCATGGCCTCTCCAATGTCGCCAGGGACTCGGCTTCCGGAGGTAGTTGCAGAGTCTCACACAGAGCCCGCATCGAGGCCTGGAGCCTTGCCGTCGCCCGCTTTGATCAGAGAGGCTTTGTGACGGCCATCTCCCGCACCGCCCTGCAGCTGCTGCCCGACTTTCAGGCACAAGGCGCCCCCAAGATGTGTTTCTAGAAAGAGTCCAGGGCTTCTTGGTTGAAAGCCCGGTCCTTGTAGCGAGAAGCTCAGCATGGAGAGGTCTTGCCAACACTGCCTGGGCCATGGCACATCTGCTTGCAGAGCCTGAGGCTGTATCTTCTTGATCTGCATGGCAATCCATGGCCCGAGCATGTCCTTGGTTGTTGACCCCATCTGACTGCAGGGACGTGGTCCTGAGCGAAAGTTACTGGTGCGGACCCCATCACATGAAGCATGTGGAAGTTCAGGTTCTGCCTAGATGCAATGTGGCACAATTGCGCACTGCTTCAGTGACAAAGGGCCGGGCCCGGGTGATTAAGAGCGACTGCAGGAGTGCATCGCCAAGGAGGTTGGCCGCAATGCGCATGTCTTCTCCTCAGATGGGCTCTCCAGGCAGTGGCAGCCTGCTCATGCAAGATGAGGATTTCACACCGCAGGGCCTGGCAAACATTGGCTGGGCGTTTGCCACTCTAGCACTGTGCGAGCCCCATGCGAGGGCGGGCTGTCTTCTTGCTGCTGCATGCTTCAACCGGCAGTGTCACTGCGCCTCATCAGATTTATTTAAGGGTGCTTGTCAGAAGAAGCAGCTCTACCTTGCCCTGGCTGTTTCCCAGCTCTTTCTTCGGCTCCGAGCACTGTCGCATGATCCGCTAGATGCTTCCGGAAGATCCGCAGGTACAAGACGGCTTGGCCGGTAAGTAGACGCCGATGTAGGGTTCAAGCCGCCAGACACTGACAGGCTACAGCAAGCTACGAGATGAATGTAGCTGTTTTTCACAGTCTTTGTTTCGGCCGATCACCCAATTCTTGCCGCGATTTGGGGCCTCAAGCATGGAATTGCGGGAAGGCAAGTTGTGTCTGGCAATGCAGGGACCTCCTCCAACATAGGCATGTGTGCTTCAGTTTGGAGGCCTCGATCGAGTTCTTAGTGAGCTTCTTCAGACGCAGGAATTGCTGCTTGGCAGGCTTTCGTCGGCGGCTATTGTAGAAATGAAGATGCCAAGCCTTGTTCTTATTGAAGCCGAGCTCAGCCCAGGTATCGCGCTGCAGAGACCCAGCAGCAGTCGTTGCGGAAAGCAGTCGAGCAGCATCGGGAGGCACTTCTGCGCTCTCTCAGCGGGCCGCTAGCCTGCAGAGATGCGACACGTTTCTATCTGCGTCGCATGCAGCAACATGCATCTTCAGCTCAATGGAGACAAGAGATGTGCAGCTGCTTGTTTGTGTGCGTGCGTGTGTGTGTGTGTGTGTGTCTGTGTGTGTGTGTGTGTGTTTGTGCGTGTGTATGCGTCTCCACTCGGTGAAATATGATGTCGCAATGTTTGCAACACAGTGCAAGCCAACCGCTTTCTCCCAGGGAAGCCACGCCTCTGAAGCTGGCCCTTGGGGAGGATGTGGCCGCGTTCCAAGTCCCGCTTTGTGTGCGCTCGAAAGACCCTACCTGGACATGGACATCATGTCATCGCCGTCGTCGCCGCCGCCGTCGTCCTCATCATCGTCATCGTAGCGGTAGTGGCAGCAGCGGTTTCGGGTGTTGGATTCGGCATGTAGGGTAGCTATCGCAGTAGTAATCGTAGTAGTAGGAGTAGTAGCAGCGCAGTAGTCGTCGTCCTCGTCGTCAGCGGTGGCAGTGGCACTGGCGGTGGACGTAGGTAGGAGTAGGAGTAGGAGAAGTTGTAGCATTGGTAGAACTAATGAACTGTAGTGATAGTGGGAGTGGTGGTGGTGGTAGTAGTCGTAGTCGTAGTCGTAGTCGTAGTAGTAGTAGTAGTAGTAGTAGTAGTAGCAGCAACAGCAACAACTGTCGTCGTCGTAGTATTGTAGTAGTCGCCGTAGTAGGAGAAGGAGTAGGGTCAGTAGGACCACGGCAACCGAGCGGTAAAAGCGACGTTAGCAACACCTACAAGACTTACAACCTGAGGGGCGTTAGCAGCCCCAGCAGCGACAACAAGTTGCCACAGTTTTTTGGGGATTGGTTGTTTGGAAATATCAATGCTACGAGGATGGTCGTAATGATAATGGCGATAGCGAGCCCCCTGGCACGATAACGGTGCCTTCATAGCCACAAGCATCATGTCCATTCTCCTGACAACAGCAAGGGTACATGGTATCGCAAGAATTGTGAGAACCGTAGAGTTTCGGTACATTTGTCACTTCACGGCTTTGGCTAAGGCGCCTCCCATGATTTCGAAGGCCAGGGGGGATCCGGGCTTTTGCTTGGGGGTCGTGGTGCGACGAGCTGTTCTCACCTTGACAAGCCGTGCTGCAGGAGTACGGCACACATTCGCCAATGGCATCCGTGCCTGCACACCAGCCTACCGTGCCGGACAACCTGGAGACTACTCAGCCAGCCTATGCAAGCTCAATGTCAAGCCCGGCGACCTCCCAAAGCCCTGCGACCTCCCAGACAACGTCTATGAATCTGCCGGAGAATGTGGTTCAGGCCTAAAGCCACCATGAGCCACCATGTGAACCTAATTAGACCCACAAGTCGGCCGCAAGTTGTCACAGGTTGGGGAATCAAAGGACACGTGGACAGCCGCTGCCGAGTATGCCATGCACAGGCATGCACGGTCAGAGCGGCGCTTGTATCAAGCGTGTTTCTGCAGATCTGCCTGATCCGCCATGCGATGCAGCCGGTTTATGATCATGTATACAGCATGCACCAAGACACCAACAAACATTCCTTTGCACTTCAACAGGCCGCGTTCCGACAGCGAGAGCAGAAGGAAGTCGGCCAACAGCGACAAGAACTCTGCCGGAAAGAGGCCGTCTGACAAGAGGCTGCTGGAGGGACGGAAGAAGATCGGCATATGATTTCGCAGTACTCTGCCGGGGCAGGCACAGCGACCTGGAGGTGATCGACTCGTGGGCGGCAGCGGAGATGTTGGGGGTCACCGGAGAGGAGAGAATGCTAGCCCGCATCATGTCTGTGTCAACTCAATGACCCCAAGACACCTAAAACTGAACAGTTTAAGGAGCTCAACCAAAAGCAAGAACACCCTGGCCAGGACCAAATGATGGGCCGTTTCGACACCCTCATCGGCATCCTCGTGCTCCTGCCGCTCGGCATGCTTCAACTTCTACGCGAACGGTCTTTCTGCCTGCTTAGAAGTGCGGACGGGAGTACGGTTCAGCATTGATTGAGGAATGCTTTTGCAATGGCTCTGACTCTGGAGTGTCTGGGCTCCAAGTCGGCAGCCAGCCTGGGGATGACCGGTGGATTCTCCGTGTGCGATGCTTCACCTGTCCTTGATGTCGCCGACTCAGACGGAAGTGCAAAGCAGAAGATAGTCGTGCCCAACCCCTTTCTGGGGGAGGCATGGAACTGTGCAGCTGTGCAGGTGCTGGAGCATTTCTTCGTGGTGGTGTTCGGCCTTGAGTTGGTTTATCGGCTCTACTGCCTGCGCTGTGGCTACTTTCGTGACTACTGGAATTGGGCGGATGCCTCCTTGGTCATCATAGGCGTCACTGACTTGTACTTGTTGGACCCATTGCTGTCCGGATCACCGGCCCACAACGCAACCACCCTCCGAGTCTTCCGGGTGGTGAAGCTCGCCTCCCGGCCGTAATGAAACACATCGCCTGTCGTCTCTTTCTTTCTTTCTCTTGCATTCCCAACAGCGCTCTTGAGCTTTTGAGCGCTGCGCTGCCGGCGACCGGCCTGTCGGTGCCAAGCCGAGGCTCGAGTCGTACGCATCGTGCGGGCGCTACGTCTTTTCCGAGGCCGATCTTGGGCGGAGGAGAGAGTTGTGTCTGGCGACTTCTGTGCCTACTTTCCGAGGCCTGCGAGTCTTGGTCCACGCATGCGGCTCCTTGACATGAACCCAAGACGTGCCAGTGTGCCTCCTCTGCTGGACTTCGAAAGTCTGCTTCTGTCGTTTTGCTTTCACCCTGTGAACTCGCGCTTGCTCGTACCGATCGACCCGCTTTCCATGCCATCGTGCAGTTATTGCATTTCTGGAGAGGACGACCAAGTGCCTGCCCAACAGCAGTCTGTACTTGAGGTATCTGTAGGTCCTTTTGACATGTGCAGCTTCAGAGCTTAGGAGGTAAGCGTTCGCAGTAATGTTTTATTGTCAATTATCGAGAAACTCGATCCCGGAAGCTCAATTGCAACCCCCCTCAACCGCAAAACTCGATCCCGAAAACTCAATTGTAAACCCCATCCAGCATGACTAAAATCAGTGAGTTTTAGGGTCAGTTGCCGTTATCTGTATGCTTCAGAGACAATTAGAGGCCAGGACCGAGCAGAGAGAAACTGTACTGATCGCCCTCTCAATGGACACCGGGACGGCGCTTGAAATCAACCGAGGGGGTGAGGTGAGGGGTTTATCAGTTTGCACTCGACAACATCGTAGTACATCGCATGCAGCAAGACTGTGCAGCACCAAGTGACAAAGCATGGCATCTTGCAGCATGCTGTCAGCAGCCGCAAAATCTTGGTCGTGATGCAGATCTATCTGCGGAGAACTGAAGCCTGGGTGTCAGGATGGGATTGATTCGCAAAAGATCTCGGTCTCATCAGTGTTGAAATTCCCGGCTCCTCGCCGGAGTGATGCTGAGTTCTTGTGCGGCCTTGCCGGCTCAGGTTCTTTTCTGCCTTCTTTGAGCTGGTCTATGGCATTGCTCGGACTTTGTATGCTGTCCGGAGGCTTGCTGATCGGAAACCTGTGCGGTGCTTACTTGTCGGAACGAAGGCGATGACAGCTTCGACTTGAGAACACAGTCCGACATAGACATACGACCCAATACCCTCCCCTTGCACAAGTCAAAGCCAATGTGCTAGTGTCATATCTTGTCTGTACTTATCACGTCCCGCGAAATGAGGGCGAGTTTCGTCCCTTCCGAGGCTCCAGGACTACATCAGCGACGAGTCACAGGACCCGGAATGGCGTTTGTGGGTCTGGCAGCATTATGGGACGTCCTACCGATCGATTTACACAATGCTTCTTGGACGACAGCCTTGAGCCACCGTCTCAGATCACAGCAGCACCCAATAGCGCTCGACTAGAACGCACAGGTATGAGATGACCTTTGCCGGGAATTGGGGTGTCTATGCCAGACCAGTGCTGGAGCACGTGAGTCAAGCCTATGTGATTTTCTATGTTGTGCATCTTGGCTTCACTGCTAAGTGACGTAGCATAGCGGGTGCTTTGCAGTACACACTGCGCCAGGTACATCACATTCATAGTTTTTGCCGAGCCCTGGCTTGCATTGGAGCTTGGGGCAGCGTCAAGATGCCTCGTGACGATTCTGTTTGGCTTGTACCAGTCAAGTGGGGTATGCGCCAGGGCAGAGGTCGAATCAGGCAGTGCCGAGTGCTGTCTTCTTGCATGTAGTTGTGAACACCTCATGGGGCAGAGCCTGCAGCTTCGTGTCGTGGATGCTTGCTATGCGAAAGGACGTGTAATGACGTACTGGTCGGGCGGGGTTCGCTGCTGTTTCAGGCATGTTCTTGCGGTCATTCTGTATGCTGTC